ATAAAGCTTCCCTAGCAGAAATGTGATGTTATGTTCACTGCATACCCATTATCTACTAATAAAGTTTCCCTATCAAAAATGTGATATATTATGTTTACTGCAATACCCAACATCTACTAATAGTTTTCCTATCAAAAAATGAGATATATTACATTCACTGCATACCCACCATCTACTAATAAAGTTTCCCTATCAAAAATATCATGTTATGTCCACTGCATACCCACCATCTACTAACAAAGTTTCCCTATCAAAAATGTGATGTTATTTCTACTGTATACCCACTATCTAATAAAGTTTCCCTATCAAAAAATGTGATATATTATGTCCATAGCATACCCACCATCTACTAATAAAATTACCCTATCAAAAAATGAGATGTATTACATTCACTGCATACCCACCATCTATTAATAAAATATAGACCTCATCTGTCTATATTTGTGCTTGTTCTTGTCCTATCCATTCTGGTTAAACGCTGGCTGGCTGGGGAATTCTGGGAGTTGAAGTCCACAGGTCTTAGAAGTTGCCAAGGTTGAATACCCCGATCTGGTATCTTCTTTAACCGTCCACAGTTCCTGAACTATTCAATTCCTCGCCTCTACTTAAGGACGGCATGATTCAATGGGGTGTCCTAAGATGGGTGAGCTCAGACTCCCCTTTTTGCGTTGCCAGCTCTTCCCATCGGCCAAGAGATCTCATCCGTTGTGTTCCTAACAAGCGAGACATTTGCGAATTGAATTCTTCTCCTTTGGTGTGCAGGTGTCCAAGGCCACGGCTGTGGCCGACGAGGCCTTGGGGAACGTCCGGACGGTGCGGGCCTTTGCCATGGAACCCAAAGAGATCCAGTGAGTACCACGAAAGTGATCCCTGCTCTCTTGAATGATGCTTTTATAGCAGGGGTCCCCAACCCTCGGGGCTGTGAACCCATACCGGTTTGTGACGTCTTAGGAACCGGGCTGCGCAGCTGGTTGTGAGCGGCGAGTGAGCAAGTAAAGGTTTGTCTGCGCATGCACCGGATCTATGTTGCATGCAAAACTATCCCCCCTCTCCACCCCATCCCAGTGGGTCAAAAAAATGGTTCCCCACAAAACCAGTCCCTGGTGCCCCAAAAGTTGGGGGGGGGCGCTGTTTTCTAGCATCAACTTCTTGGATGTGGAACCAACCCATGGGGGACCCCTGTGCGTTGGGGCTCTCCTCCCTACAACTAGACCTTGACTTCACCACCACGGTGGAGAGCAGAGTTTCCGTTATTAAGCAAGGCGGTTGTGAAGGGAGTCCCACCTAGTTTTACGGCCAGCTAATACTTGTATTAGTGGATGGTGGGTATGCGGAGAACAAAATATTATCACATTTTTTGATAGGGAAACTTTATAAGTAGATGATGGGTATGCAGGGAACATAATATATCTTGACTTCAGCAGAGTGAAAAAAAAAATGCTGGCGGGGGAATTCTGGGTGTTGAAATCCACAAGTCAAGGTTGGGTACCCCTGGCGAACACAGTGTGAGTCACATGTGCACTCGACCTTCACATTGAAGGTCAATCAAGCCAGGGGTATAAGCATACCAGCCAGCATTTTTTTCACTCTGTTGAAGTCATGCTATAATATGTTCCCCGTGTACCCACCATCTACTAACAAAGTTTCCCTATCAAAAAATGGGATATATTATGTTCTCTGCATACCCACCATCTACTAATAGTTTCCCTATCAAGAAATGGGATATATTATGTTCCCTGCAATACCCACCATCTACTAATAGTTTCCCTATCAAAAAATGTGATATATTATGTTCCCTGCATACCCACCATCTACTAACAAAGTTTCCCTATCAAAAAATGGGATATATTATGTTCTCTGCATACCCACCATCTACTAATAGTTTCCCTATCAAGAAATGTGATATATTATGTTCCCTGCAATACCCACCATCTACTAATAGTTTCCCTATCAAAAAATGTGATATATTATGTTCCCTGCATACCCACCATCTACTAATAAAGTTTTCCTGTGAAAAAATGCGATATATTATGTTCCCTGCATACCTACCATCTACTAATGTTTCCCTATCAAAAAATGAGATATATTACATTCACTGCATACCCACCATCTACTAATAAATTTACCGTATCGAAAAATGTGATATATTATGTTCCCTGCATACCCACCATCTACTAATAAGGTTTCCCTATCAAAAAATGTGATATATTATGTTCCCTGCATACCCACCATCTACTAATAAGGTTTCCCTATCAAAAAATGAGATATATTAAGTTCCCTGCATACCCACCATCTACTAATAAGGTTTCCCTATCAAAAAATGAGATATATTACATTCACTGCATACCCACCATCTACTAATAAGGTTTCCCTATCAAAAAATGTAATATATTATGTTCCCTGCATATCTACCATCTACTAATAAGGTTTCCCTATCAAAAAATGAGATATATTACGTTCACTGCATACCCACCATCTACTAATAAATTTACCGTATCGAAAAATGTGATATATTATGTTCCCTGCATACCCACCATCTACTAATAAGGTTTCCCTATCAAAAAAATGAGATATATTACATTCACTGCATACCCACCATCTACTATTAAAGTTACCGTATCAAAAAAAAAGTCGTCTATCTGCCTTTGTTCTTGTTCTTGTCCTACCCATTCTGCTTAAACCCTTGCTGGCTGGGGAATTCTGGGAGTTGAAGTCCACCGGTCTTAAAGTTGCCGCGATTGGACACTCCCAGCGTAGGTCGTGCAGTGACCCTGCCACAGCTGTCAATTTCTCCTTTTTCTTCCCCGTGCAGAGAATATGCAGCTGAAGTGGACACTTCCTGCCGTCTCAACATGAACCTGGGGCTGGGCATTGCCTTCTTCCAGGGACTCTCCAACATGGCCCTGAACTGTGAGTAGAAGCTCTATTGCGTTGGCTACAAGGGACGGTCGACGCGGCATCCGGGATGCTTCCGGCGAGGCTCCGTGCCCAGCCTGTTTTACACGGGTTTGTTATATGACCGGCAGCTATATACAGGTTTATGCCCCAGTTTATGACCTTCTTTGCCCTGGCGGTTAAGTGGACCGCCGCAGGTGATAAGCTAGTAACCCGGTTGTTAAGCAAATCGGGCTTCCCCATTGCCAAAAGAGGATTGCACAAACTTGGGACCCCGCAACCGTCTTAAAAAATGAATCACTTACCAAGCATCCAAATGTAAGTCGCACGACTACGGGGATGCTGCGGTGGTTGTAAGTGTGAAAAAAAGTAGACCTATGAACCTTATGTTGCCATTATAACGTCAAACCGTCACTAAGTGAACTGTTGGAAGTTGAGGACAGTGTGGACTGAGGACGAAGTTCACAAGTGTGAACGAGCTGCCCAGAATCTGGAATGTCATCCCGCGATCGTGGGGATGCTGCAAAGGTCATGACTTTGAAAACGGTCATAAGTCCCATTTCTCAGGGCCGTTGTAACTTCAAACGGTCACTAAACAAACTTGTAAGCCGAGGACTACCTCTAAGTGTTTGACACCAAGGGTCCTCAGCCCCTCCCCCCCAGTCCACAGCCCACTACTGGTCCTTGAACCGTTTGGAACCGGGCCATGGAAGTGGCGAGCGAGCTTACCATTCGTGCGGAATTGTCCCGGTCCACGGTTTACTACTGGTCCTTGAACTGTTTAAAACCGGGCTGCGGAAGTGGCGAGCGAGTTTACCCAGCGTTCGCACGGAATCGTCCCCTAGCCGCCAGTCCACAGCCCACTACCGGTCCTTGAACCGATTGGAACCGGGCTGCGGAAGTGGCGAGCGAGTTTACCCGCCGTTCGCACAGAATCGTCCCCTCCCTACCTGCCGGTCTGCGGCCCACTACCTGTCGAACCATTTGGAACCGGGCCGCAGAAGTAGAGGGTGAGTGAGGTTACCGTTCGTGCGGAATCGTCCCCTCCCTGTCCTCTGGTCTACGGCCCACTACTGGTCCTTGAACCGTTTGGAACCGGGCCACGGAAGTAGCGGACGAGTGAGCTTACCCACCGTTCACACGGAATCGTCCCACTCCCTACCCACCGGCCCATGGCCCACTACCAGACCTTGAACCATTTGGAACCAGGCCACGGAAGTGGCAGGCGAGATTTCTGCCATTCACATGGAATCGTCGCCTTCCTACCCGCCAGTCCATGGGCCACTACCGGTTTTTGAACTGTTTGGAACTAGGCCACGGAAGTAGCGGGCGAGTGAGCTTCCCCGTTGTTCGTGTGGAATCGTCCCCTCCTTGTCCACCGGTCCACAAAGCCGGAAATGTTGTCGAATTCTGTGCCACAGCCGTGTTGTTTTTGTTTTCCAGGTATTGTGCTTGGCACCATCTTTGTCGGTGGCTCCCTCATGGCCGGACAGGAGATGACGCCCGGGGACCTCATGTCCTTCTTGGTCTCCTCCCAGACCGTACAGCGGTAAGACCGGCACCGGCCCGGTCCCGATGTAGACGGCCGACTGACTGGCTGGCCCTTAAGAGCTGTTTCTTTTTCTTCCATAGGTCCATGGCCAGCATGTCGGTGCTCTTTGGACAGGTAGGTGCGCTATCCATGGGATAACCAGTAGCCACATAATTCAGATAGACCTCGATAAAAGAAAACAAAAATAAAATAAAAAAAATAAAAATAAAAATAAAATAAAAAAAATAAAAATAAAATAAAAAATAAAATAATAAAATAAAATAATATAAAATATAAAATAAAATATAAAATAAAATAAAATTTTAATTTAATGTTAAATTAAATTATTAAATTAAATTATTAAATTAACTTAGAAATTAAATTATTAAGTTAAATTATTAAATGAAATTAATTAAATTAAAAATTAAATAATTTAATGAAAATTAAATTAAAAATTAAATTAAAAATTAAATCCAATTATTAAATAAAAAGTTAAATCCAATTATTAAATAAAATTATTAAATCAATCAAATTAAATTAATTAAATTAACAATTAAATTATTAAATTAAATTATTAAATTAAATTAACAATTAAATTATTAAATAAATAAATAAATCAAATTTTAAATTAAATTAAATTAAATTAAATTAAATTTCATCTGGTTGCAAGTGAGAAAACCAAAATCTTCCGAGAGTTTGATTCCGGTTGCGCTCCGATAGAATTCAGCAGAATTCCTGCCACATCATCCCAGGTTCAACAGAGAAGGAGCCTTCGACTGACGGCCCCAAATTTCCACCACTAAGTGAGAGACCTTTGGGAAGTGAGAGGAGCTCCATGTTACGAGGTTTTTTGCCACGGCGTTGAAGCGGAGCGCAGCAGGTGTAAAGTTAGCACAAATAGCCCTTGACTTAGAGCAGTTCCTTTAGCGACCGTTGGATGTTACAACGGCACGGACAAAAGTGATGAGCCGTTGTTCCCACTCATCATCCCAAGGGTCACGTGATTTACATTCGGATGCTGGACAACCGCATCCTATTTACGACCATTGCGATGGCCCGGGAATCGCAGGATCACTTTTTTTGCGACTTCCCAACAAGCAGACCAAACAGGGAAGCCCAATTCGCTTAGCGACTGTGTGATGAACAGCTGCAGCGATCTGCTTCACAAACGTCGCAAAACGGGGCGAAGCTCCCTTCAGAAACGTCTCGCTTGGCGACATAAATTCTTGGCTCAACTGTCGTAAATCGAGGACCATCTGTACACACCTCCTGGCTTTTTTTTGCTCGGGAAATGGTGTGTCCCCCCCAAGAGGGGGGTCTCGTTCCTCAAGACCCCTCTCTTTACCCCTGCAGGTTTTACGGGGCATGAGCGCCGGGGCCCGCGTGTTTGAATTCATGAACCTGTCGCCGGAGACGCCCCTGTGCGAGAGACAGATGCTCACCTGCAGCATGCTGAACGGGCACCTTGAATTCCGGGATGTGACTTTCAGGTGAGAACTCGGAAAAGTTCCCGAGTTGTGAGGGGGAGATTTTGAAACGGGCTGGGAAAATATCTCGGGCCAGGGGTGCCGACGTTTCCGGCTTTGCGGAACGGCAGTGGAGGGAGGGCAGGAAACAGTTCTACACGAGTGTCCACTGCTGCCACAAACGGAGCTCCTGGCAGGCCCGAGAGCCCTCCGCATGCACAAATGGAACTTCATGCAATAGCATTTAGCAAAAGCACTTAGACTTATATACCGCTTCACAGTGCTTTACGGAGTCAGCACGTTACTCCCAACAATCTGGGTCCTCATTTTAGCGACCTCGGAAGGACGGAAGGCTGAGTCAACTTTGAGCCGGGCAGGATCGAACTGCCAAAATTGCTGGCAGCCGGCAGTAGCAGACGTAGCCTGCGGCACTGCATTCTAACCACTGCGCCACAAGGGCTCCCGTGCGCCCGCGGGAATGCCCGCCACTCGCGCCAATGAAGCTGCATGTTCAGCTCCAGCTTGTACAAAACAGTTCCGAACGGACCAGGAACCAGGCTGCGGCCCAGGGATTGGGGACCCTTGTCTATTAGGCTAAATCAGCATCTCTTACGCCGGGCTATTGGCTTGACCTCCAAACTTGCCGATTTGGCTGCAAATGTTTCATCTCCATTCAGGGGAGGGGGGGAACATCTTCAAGTGTGCTTTGAATCGTGCTCGTCTATCGGACCTCTGGCCTTTAAATACCTTTTTATCTGTGACGTAAATTGCCGTGAGTGTTACTTGTCCGTGCTCGTCTGTCGGAGCGCTGGCCTTTAAATACCTTTTTGTCTGTGATGTAAATTGCCGTGGGTGTTACTTGTCCGTGCTCTTCTGTCAGAGCGCCGGCCTTTAAATACCTTTTTGTCTGTGACGTAAATGGCTGTGGGTGTTACTTGTCCGTGCTCGTCTGTCGGAGCGCTGGCCTTTAAATACCTTTTTGTCTGTGATGTAAATTCCTGTGGGATGAAGCGAAGCCGGATGGCAGAGAGAAGGCTCTCTCCGCATGTCCGCTGGCGCCGCGACCCGGAACCGGCCTTTAAATACCTTTTTGTCTATGATGTAAATGGCGGTGGGTGTTATTTGTCCGTGCTCGTCTGTCAGAGCGCTGACCTTTAAATACCTTTGACAGACTTCTATGAAAAGCCCGTACATTGGACACCGCTGGTCCTCGCCCGCCAAGGGACCTCGGCCTCCTCCCCATCCTTTCCCTTGGAAAACTGACCTAGCGGTGTCCTTTAGCACAGGGATCCCCAACCTCTGGGTTGTGGCCCCGTTACCGGTCCACAGCCTATTTATTGGGAACCGGGCCGCGCAAACGGCAGGGAGAGCGAGCAAAGCTTTATCTGACACGCACAGGATCTATGTTGCATGTGAACGCATTTCCCCCCCCCCNGTCGAACCATTTGGAACCGGGCCGCAGAAGTAGAGGGTGAGTGAGGTTACCGTTCGTGCGGAATCGTCCCCTCCCTGTCCTCTGGTCTACGGCCCACTACTGGTCCTTGAACCGTTTGGAACCGGGCCACGGAAGTAGCGGACGAGTGAGCTTACCCACCGTTCACACGGAATCGTCCCACTCCCTACCCACCGGCCCACGGCCCACTACCAGACCTTGAACCATTTGGAACCAGGCCACGGAAGTGGCAGGCGAGATTTCTGCCATTCACATGGAATCGTCGCCTTCCTACCCGCCAGTCCATGGGCCACTACCGGTTCTTGAACTGTTTGGAACTAGGCCACGGAAGTAGCGGGCGAGTGAGCTTCCCCGTCGTTCGCGCGGAATCGTCCCCTCCTTGTCCACCGGTCCACAAAGCCGGAAATGTTGTCGAATTCTGTGCCACAGCCGTGTTGTTTTTGTTTTCCAGGTATTGTGCTTGGCACCATCTTTGTCGGTGGCTCCCTCATGGCCGGACAGGAGATGACGCCCGGGGACCTCATGTCCTTCTTGGTCTCCTCCCAGACCGTACAGCGGTAAGACCGGCACCGGCCCGGTCCCGATGCAGACGGCCGACTGACCGGCTGGCCCTTAAGAGCTGTTTCTTTTTCTTCCATAGGTCCATGGCCAGCATGTCGGTGCTCTTTGGACAGGTAGGTGGGCTGGGGGAGATCCATGGGACAACCAGTGGCATCATAATTCAGATAGACCTTGATAAAATAAAACAAAAATAAAATAAAACAAAAATAAAATATATAAAATAAAATAAATAAAATATATAAAATAAATTATAAAATAAAATAAAAAATAAAATAAAATTTTAATTTAATGTTAAATTAAATTATTAAATTTAAGTTATTAAATTTAATTAAAGTAAAAATGAAATTAAATTATTAAATTTAAATTATTAAATTAAATTAAAGTAAAAATGAAATTAAATTATTAAATTAAAAATTAAGTTAAATTAAAGTAAAAAAATAAATTAAAAATTAAATTAAATTATTAAATTAAGTTAAAAATTAAATTATTAAAAATTAAATTAAATTATTAAATTAAATTATTAAAAATTAAATTAAATTATTAAATCAAATAAATTAATTAAAAATTAAATAGATTAATTAAAAATTAAATTAACTAAATTAAATTATTAAATTAAATTAAATTATTAAATTAAATTAAATTAAATTAAATAATTAAATTTCATCTGGTTGCAAGCGAGAAAACCAAAATCGTCCGAGAGTTTGATTCCGGTTGCGCTCCGATAGAATTCAGCAGAATTCCTGCCACATCATCCCAGGTTCAACATACAAGGAGCCTTCGACTGACGGCCCCAAATTTCCACCACTAAGTGAGAGACCTTTGGGAAGTGAGAGGAGCTCCATGTTATGAGGTTTTTTGCCACGGCGTTGAAGCGGAGCGCAGCAGGTGTAAAGTTAGCACAAATAGCCCTTGACTTAGAGCAGTTCCTTTAGCGACCGTTGGATGTTACAACGGCACGGAGAAAAGTGATGAGCTGTTGTTCCCACTCATCATCCCAAGGGTCACGTGATTTACATTCGGATGCTGGACAACCGCATCCTATTTACGACCATTGCGATGGCCCAGGAATCGCAGGATCACTTTTTTTGCGACTTCCCAACAAGCAGACCAAACAGGGAAGCCCGATTCGCTTAGCGACTGTGTGATGAACTGAACAGCTGCAGCGATCCGCTTCACAAACGTCGCAAAACGGGGCAAAGCTCCCTTCAGAAACGTCTCGCTTGGCGACATAAATTCTTGGCTCAACTGTCGTAAATCGAGGACCATCTGTACACACCTCCCGGCTTTTTTTCGCTCGGGAGATGGGGGGTCTCGTTCCTCAAGAACCCTCTCTTCACCCCTGCAGGTTTTACGGGGCATGAGCGCCGGGGCCCGCGTGTTTGAATTCATGAACCTGTCGCCGGAGACGCCCCTGTGCGAGAGACAGATGCTCACCTGCAGCATGCTGAACGGGCACCTTGAATTCCGGGATGTGACTTTCAGGTGAGAACTCGGAAAAGTTCCCGAGTTGTGAGGGGGAGATTTTGAAACGGGCTGGGAAAATATCTCGGGCCAGGGGTGCCGACGTTTCCGGCTTTGCGGAACGGCAGTGGAGGGAGGGCAGGAAACGGTTCTGCACGAGTGTCCACTGCTGCCACAAACGGAGCTCCTGGCAGGCCCGAGAGCCCTCCGCATGCACAAATGGAACTTCATGCAATAGCATTTAGCAAAAGCACTTAGACTTATATACCGCTTCACAGTGCTTTACGGAGTCAGCACGTTACTCCCAACAATCTGGGTCCTCATTTTAGCGACCTCGGAAGGACGGAAGGCTGAGTGAACCTTGAGCCGGGCAGGATCGAACTGCCAAAATTGCTGGCAGTAGCAGAAGTAGCCTGTGGCACCGCATTCTAACCACTGCGCCACAAGGGCTCCCGTGCGCCCGCGGGAATGCCCGCCACTCGCACCAATGAAGCTGCACGTTCAGCTCCAGCTTGTACAAAACAGTTCCGAACGGACCAGGAACCAGGCTGCAGCCCAGGGATTGGGGATCCTTGTCTATTAGGCTAAATCAGCATCTCTTACGCCGGGCTATTGGCTTGACCTCCAAACTTGCTGATTTGGCTGCAAATGTTTCATCTCCATTCAGGGGAGGGGGGGGAACATCTTCAAGTGTGCTTTGAATCGTGCTCGTCTATCGGAGCGCTGGCCTTTAAATACCTTTTTATCTGTGACGTAAATTGCCGTGAGTGTTACTTGTCCGTGCTCGTCTGTCGGAGCGCCGGCCATTAAATACCTTTTTGTCTGTGGTGTAAATTCCTGTGGGATGAAGCGAAGCCGGACGGCGGAGAGAAGGCTCTCCGCACATGTCCGCTGGCGCCGCGACCCGGAACCGGCCTTTAAATACCTTTTTGTCTGTGACGTAAATGGCTGTGGGTGTTACTTGTCCGTGCTCGTCTGTCGGAGCGCTGGCCTTTAAATACCTTTTTGTCTGTGATGTAAATGGCGGTGGGTGTTATTTGTCCGTGCTCGTCTGTCGGAGCGCTGGCCTTTAAATACCTTTTTGTCTGTGATGTAAATGGCGGTGGGTGTTATTTGTCCGTGCTCGTCTGTCGGAGCGCTGACCTTTAAATACCTTTGACAGAGTTCTATGAAAAGCCAGTACCTTGGACACCGCTGGTCCTCGCCCGCCAAGGGACCTCGGCCTCCTCCCCATCCCTTCCCTGGGAAAACTGACCTGGGGGTGTCCTTTAGCACAGGGATCCCCAACCTCTGGGTTGTGTCCCCGTTACCGGTCCACAGCCTATTTATTGGGAACCAGGCCGCACAAACGGCAGGGAGAACGAGCAAAGGGCCACAGCTGTCACCCCAAGGCCTGACACTCACTCTCTCTCTCTCTCTCTCTCTCTCTCTCTCTCTCTCTCTCTTTCTTTCTTTTTCCTGCTGTTAGTTATCCCACCCGGCCGGGCTACAGAGTCTTGGAGAACTTCAACCTCTCCATCCCTGCCAACAAGACGGTGGCCATCGTGGGACAGTCCGGCGGCGGTAAGGCGCCCTCTCCTGTGCCTGAGTAGGGGCTGGGCCCTTAGGGCGGGGGGGTCTTTTGAGTTTGGCATCGTGGTCAACCTAAACCTCGTTTTTTAAAAAAAATAACCGGCACTTAGAGTGGCGTTCCCCCTGTGTGGTGAAAGCAAAGGGCAGCAATTGGCTGAACGGATCCAACCTGCTCCATCCATCCCTCCACCTGCCTGCCTATTATCTGTCGATCTGTTGATCCATCGATCTACCTACCTACCTGTTAGTTTATCGATCGATCGATCTGGTGAACTACCTACCTACTCATTATCTATTGATAATCTACCTACCTGTGTATCAGCCACATATCTCTATCATCCATCATCTCTCTCATCTCTTTCTTATCTATGTCTCTATCTATCTATCTATCTATCTATCTATCTATCTATCTATCATCTACTATATCTAATCTATCTAATCTGTCTGTCTATCTATCTATCATCTACTATATCTAATCTATCTAATCTGTCTGTCTATCTATCTATCATCTACTATATCTAATCTATCTAATCTGTCTGTCTATCTATCTATCATCTACTATATCTAATATATCTAATCTGTCTATCTGTCTATCTATCTAATCTATAATCTACCTATATCTATCATCTATATCTCTCTATTTATTATCTATCTATTTCTATTTATCCATCTATCTGTCTGTCTCTGTCTGTCTAATCTATTTATCTCATCTATCATCTACCTCCTATGTCTGTCTGTCTATCTCATCTATTTATCTACCTATCTATCATCTATCTATCTATCTATCTATCTATCTATCTATCATCTATCTATCTATCTATCTATCTATCTATCTATCTATCTATCTATCTATCTATCCTGTCTGTCTGTCTGTCTGTCTGTCTGTCATCTATATTTATTATCCATCTATCTATCTATCTATCTATCTATCTATCTATCTATCTATCTATCTATCTATCTATCTATCTATCTATCTATCTATCTATCTATCTATCTATCTCATCTGTCTATCATCTATCTCCTATGTCTGTCTGTCTGTCTGTCTATCTGTCATCTATATCTCCGTTCTGTCTGTCTGTCTGTCTGTCTGTTTCTATCTATCTATCTATCTATCATCTATCTATCTATCTATCTATCTATATCTATCTCTATCATCTGTCTGTCTGTCTGTCTATCTATCTATCTATCTATCATCTCCTATCTGTCTTTCTCTCTCTCATCTATCTGTCGATCTGCGTATCGATCTATCAATCTATCGATCATCAATCTACCTTCTGCTCTATCGCTCTATCAACCTGTCCATTATCCATTTATTGATGATCCACCTACCTACCTGTTATCTCTCTCTCTCTCTCTCTCGCTCACTTGCTCGCTAGCTACCTCTCCTCTCTGTCTGTCTGTCGGTCTGACTATCTGTCTAGCTATCTAGCTGCCAATCTAATCTGGTCCTTTTCTTCCCACTCCTCTGTCTCCTTTCTCTTTCGTACCCATCCACCCATCCATCCCTCCTCTGATGCTTTTCCTCCACCTCCTCCAAGCCCGTGGACCTTTGTTGTCTCTCTCTCTTTCTCCTGCGCAGGGAAATCCACCGTGGCGGCCCTGATGGAGCGCTTCTACGAACCCACCAAGGGCGCCATCTTCCTGGACGGGCGGGACATTTGCACCCTGGATGCCTCCTGGCTCCGGGGAGACGTCATCGGCTTCATTAACCAGGTAGGACACCGAGCGCGGAAGGGAAGAGTCGGCCAAGGTGCACGCACCGCGACGCGAAGTTGTTTCCCGGGCCCCGATTTCCGCGCGACGCAAAACCCGCGTGGCTCGGTTCACACGTCGGTAGGCGAGAAATGCAATGTCTGCGGGGGCGAACGCAACGGAAAAGAGGTTGCGGCTAGTCCTGGTTGCGGGAGGGCAGTCGTGGGGTGGGGGAGGGCGGAGGCCGGCCCCTTCCCCAATTTGGGAACCCTCCCGCCTGCCTCCGTTGTTCAGGAGCCGGTGCTGTTCAGCACCACCATCATGGAGAACATCCGCTTTGGCAAGCCCTGCGCCTCCGATTCGGAGATTTACGCAGCTGCCCGGCTGGCCAACGCCGACGAGTTTATCCGCAGCTTCCCGGATGGATACAACACAACTGTGGGTGAGTGCGGCTGACAAAAGAGGCTCGTCTCTGACCTCACAACGGCCTCTTGCAGTTGAGGGGGGCCTTCCTTCCTCTCCTCCTTCCTCTCTTCCTTCCATCTTCTTCCTTTCTCCCTTCCTCCTTCCTTCCTTCCTTCTCTCCTCCATCCCTGTTGCCTTTCTTCCTTCCCTTCCCTTCCCCATCTCTTTCCTTCCTTCCTCTCCTCCTTCCGTCCTCTTCCTTTCTCCCTCCCTCCCTTCCTCCTTCCTTCCTTCTCTCCTCCATCCCCGTTGCCTTTCTTCCTTCCCTTCCCTTGCCCATCTCTTTCCTTCCTTCCTTCCTCCTTCCATCTTCTTCCTTCCTCCCTTCCTTCTCTCCTCCATCCCTGTTGCCTTTCTTCCTTCCCTTCCCTTGCCCATCTCTTTCCTTCCTCTTCTCCTTCCATCTTCTTCCTTTCTCCCTCCCTTCCTCCTTCCTTCATCTCTGTTGCTTTCTTCTTTCCCTTCCCTTGCCCATCTTTTTCCTTCCTTCCTCTCCTCTTTCCATCCTCTTCCTTTCTCCCTCCCATCCTCCTTCCTTCCTTCTCTCCTCCATCCCTGTTGCTTTTCTTCCTTCCCTTCCCTTGCCCATTTCTTTCCTTCCTTCCTCTCCTCCTTCCATCCTCTTCCTTCCTCCCTCCCTTCCTCCTTCCTTCCTTCTCTCCTCCATCCCTGTTTCCTTTCTTCTTTCCCTTCCCTATCTCTTTCCTTCCTTCCTCTCTCCCCTCATCCTTTCTCCCCTTCGTCTTTCCTTCCTTCCTTCCCTTTTCCATCCCTGTTGCCTTTCTTCCTTCCCTTCTCTTCCCCATCTCTTCCCTTCCTTCCTTCCTCTCTCCCCTCTTCCTTTCTCCCTCCCTCCCTTCCTCCGTCCTTCCCTCCCTTTTCCTTCCTTCCTTCCTCCCTCCCTCCCCTCATCCTTCCTTCCTTCCTCTCCTTCCTTTCTCCCTCCCTTCCCTCATCCCTCCCTCCTTTTCTTCCTCTCCTTCTCTCTCTTCCTTCCTCCCCACCTCCCTCCCTCTCCTTCTCTCTCTTCCTTCCCTTCTCCATCCCTGTTGCCTTTCTTCCTTCCTTCCTCTCTCCCCTCTTCCTTCCTCCCTCCCTCCCCTCGTCCTTCCTTCCTTCCTTCCTCTCCTTCCCTTCCTCCCCATCTCCTTCCTTTCTCCCTCCCTTCCCTCATCCCTCCCTCCCTTTCTTCCTCTCCTTCTCTCTCTTCCTTCCTCCCCATGTCCCTCCTTCCTCTTTTTCCACCTTCTTCTTGCAACCCCCCCTCCTCACACCGGCCTCTCTTTCTTCCCCCCCCCCAGGGGAGCGTGGCGTGACTCTGTCGGCGGGGCAGAAGCAGCGGGTGGCCATCGCCCGGGCCCTGATCAAGAACCCCAAAGTGCTGATCCTGGACGAGGCCACCAGTGCCCTGGACGCCGAGTCGGAGCACGTGGTCCAAGAGGCCCTGAACCGGGCCGTGGCCGGCCGGACCGTGTTGGTGATCGCCCACCGGCTCAGCACGGTCAAGGAGGCCTCCCTCATCGTGGTTCTGTCCAAGGGCCGGGTGGCCGAGGTGAGTGCCGGGCCCGTGCTCCATTGGCGTCAGTGGGTGGGCGTGCCCATACGCCGCTTCCGGACCGGTACCGGTCTCAGCCCAGGGATGTGGGACCCCTCCTCTAGTCTCTCTCCGAGACCGTTGGCGCCACCGACAATTTCAGAGCAGGTAACGTGATCTAGAAACATGTCTGCACTCAGCCCAACCGTCGGTCGCGGAGGATTTATACTCCTTGCAGACCGCTGGTCATTTGCCTCCTTTTAGAGAGGCGTTGAGGCCACTTGGAAGTTTATCTGTGTCCTCGTGGGACTTTCTTATTATTCTTTGAAGACGTTTCGCTTCTCATCCCGAGAAGCTTCTTCAGCTCGGA